AGCGCCTCGGCCAGCCCCTCGTGGTCATGGGTCATTGCGAGCATCAGCAGCGTCATGCCGCTCACAGGGCCGTCCGAATAGAGGTACTCGAACGCCGCGTTGACCCGCCCGCCGCCGTCGAGCCACGCCAGCACCGCCTCCTCATGGCCTCGCCCAGCCGCGTCCACAACCTCCTCTGGCACCGCCCCGCCGCTCGGCTCGACCTCCGCCGCGCCGCCCTCGCCGCTCGAAGCAGAGGCCGCGGCACTCGCACCCACCGCCGCGCCTGCGCCGCCTGCCTCGGCCGACGGCGACTTGCTCCGGCCCGCCGTCGCCACCTCTCCGAGATACGTCTTGAAGACCTGGACGCACTCGGCGTGGCCCTTTTCCTTGGCCCACTGCAGCGCCGTCCTGCCCGCCGCGTCTCGCAACTTCATGCCTGCGCCCGCCCGCAGAAGGCGGAGCACGACGGCGGGGCGGTTGCGCGCTGCGGCGAGAATCAGTGCGGTGTCACCCTTCTTGTCTTGCAGGTCGATCTCCGCGCCACGCCGCAGCAGCAGGTCGACCATCCGCTCTTTGCCGCCCCGGGCAGCCGTTGCCAGCGCCGCCCAGGCGGAGCCCTGTGGGTTTATCTCCGCACCGTGCTGCAGCAGCAAGTCCACCATTCGCTCGCGGCCGTTGTGGGCGGCAGTGTTCAGCGCAGTGGTGCCGCGACTGGTTTGCAGGTTGATGTGTGCGCCACGCTTCAGGAGGAGCTCGACAATCTGCGCGTGCCCGCTCTGTGCGGCGAGTATCAGCAGGGTGCATGGAACCGTGCGGCCGCTGACCTGAGAGGGTTGCTCAGCGAGAGTGTCGGCCTTCCCGCCGACATTCAGCCACGATCGCACCGGCCCCACGCGGCCGTCCGTAGCCGCCTTCAGGACGTTATTTGGGACTTCGCCGCCCGGCGCGCTGTCAGCAGACGGCGGCGGCGGCGTGCGGCGCGCGGCGTTGGCGCGGGAGCGAGAGGCGGGCATGACGGCTGGGCGTAGTGATAGTGCGCTTGGGCGATTTCTTTTTGTTATGGCCCTGCGACCGCGCACCCCCCACCGTAAGGGCCCCGGTAACCCGATGTCAATCGTCCGGCCTCTGGGTGCGCTCTTTAGCTCCTCGGCCCTGGGCGTGCGGTTAATAACTGCACTCCAAGTGCTCCCAAGACCCAAGTGGCAAGTGCGAGAAGAAAAGCGTGAAAGAAAAAGTTGATAGTTGTAGGGTTCCCTCGCCCCCGGCCGCCGCGCGCGCGCGGCGGGCGGGCGGTGCGGCTCGCAGTGTCCGGCTCTCTCCCCCGGCGCGGCGCCCCACAAGCCCCCCCCCCCCCCCTCTGACCTCCCCGTCTTCAAGCGATCAGCGACAACACCCAAGCACACACCTCAGTGCATGATGACCCTCCGGCGAGCGTGTCCTCGACGGAAGCTCCCAAGCTCCACCCAGAGAGAGTCCGCAGGGTGGTGGCCACGCGCTTCTTCTGAGCAGCTCGCGCTATGAGCGCTGGGCCGCCTCCGCTGCCATCCTGGCGGCGGTCGCCCTGGCCCTTGCAGCGACTGCAGCAGCACGCCTCGCCTCTGTCGCGGCCGCCGCCTCCTCTCGCGCCGCCTCGCGCCCCTCACGCGCCGCCTTGGCCTCCTCCAGCGCCGCCGTGGCCTTCTCCAGCGCCGCCTCAGCCGCCTCCTCCGCCGCCCTGGACTCCGCCTGTGCAGCCTCGGCATCCGCCTCCGCCGCCTCAGCCACCGCCTCGGCCTCCTCCTCCGCATCCGCCTCCTCCTCCGCCGCCTCCGCCTCCTCGGCCAAGCGTGCCGCCTCGGCCACCTCTGCCGACGCCGCCGCCTGGCTCTCCGCCGTGATGCCGAACCGGATCCTCTCCTCGGTGAGCGTCTCGAGAAGCAGGAGAAGCCTCTCCTCCTCGGCCTTCTTCGCCGCCTCGGCTGCGTCTGCCTCCGACGGCGCCTCGGTACCCTCCTCAGATTCCTGCGACGGCCCAGCCACGCCCGCCCCGCCGCCCTTCTTCTTCTTCTTGCCCTTCTTGCCCTTGGCGCGCTTCTCCGCCTCGACCTCCGCCAGCAGCTCCTCCGCGTGCCGCGCCGCCTCCTTCTCCTCCGCCGCCCTCTGCGCCGCCCTCTCCGCCGCTCCCGCGGCCCACGCCGCCTCCTCCGCCGCCTTCTCCGCCGCCTTCTCAGCTGCCGCATGCTCCTCGAGGGCGCGCACGCACTCGGCGTGGCCCTTCTCCTTGGCCAGCTGCAGCGCGGTCTTGCCATCTGCACTGCACGGCGTCACGTCTGCGCCCGCCCGCAGCAAGCAGAGGAGGGCGGCGGGATGGCCGAAGAAAGCGGCAAGCATCAGCGCAGTGGTGCCGTGGCTGGTCTGCTGATCGATCACCGCGCCGTGCCGCAACGCCAACTCGACCAGCTTCTCGCGGCCGTACGCGGCGGCGCGAGTCAGATTTCGTCATCTAGCGCACATGAGCC